CACACACCGGCCCAGCTAACCGATCACAGCACACGCCGGCCCAGCTAACCGATCACAACACACACTGGCCCAGCTAACCGATCACAGCACACACTGGCCCAGCTAACCGATCACAGCACACACTGGCCCAGCTAGTACACCCCCAAAACAAAATCAAGACTTTGTAAATGAGCATAATAGGACCCCTTTAAACGTCCTCTCTGAAGCAGCTGCTATCTCTAATTACGGTGTAGTAGGATGTGGTGTGTGTTTGGTCATGTGATCTTCATGAATGAATATTTCAGCATCACTATTACCGCTGAAGAAGCACAGAGTTTATCATGACATATTCATGAGCTCCGGCTTGCGTTCCATCTCTGTTGTTCTGAATGGCAGTCGGCCGTGTTTTCACAGCACTGTGTGTCTGTTTTGCTTCGGTCCGGCCTGTGCTGGAAGGCTCACAGGTTTAACTTACAGGAAACCTGCCGTGGTTTCGGCCAATCCAAACACAGCGCTGAGTAAATAAACACGACGGCAGCCGGACTCTGATGATAAGTTTATCTGCGTGTGTGAGAGTGCACATGTGTGTGTTCAGGATTAGAGTTTTAAAAGCCCATTGTTCACTCTATGCTCACCTGCTTTCACTAGTGCCACTGTTATTATAGTATTCTTTATTATAGTATTTATTCATATTTTAATATTTTTTATTTTAATTTTAGTTTGTCATTTTGTTATGTGCTTTTGTTGTTTTTATTATTTTTTGTTTTCTACTTTAATTTATTTTTATTTTTATTTCAGTTTAAGTTTTAGTAATTGTAGTATTTATATAAAATGTTTTAGTATTTATATAAAAAATATTTTATTTAATAAAAATATATTTTTTTATTTTTTTATTTCAGTTAGTTGCCAAAGCAACATTTCTGATTTCTAAGTTTTAAGTTTAAGTTTTTCATCTAATAATATTAATATTATTACAAAAATATTTAAACAAAATAGAGACAAAGCTTTATAGGCATGATTATTCAAATGTACAATATTGACAAAGTGTAAAATACTTCAAGTAAAGAAAAAAATTTTAAACATTATAATTGTACATTTGTATATTTTCTGAAGTTTGCTTTAATATTATTTATATACTATTATATTTTATTAATCATTTTAATTAGCCTTTATTTTTATATTTTCAGATTTATTTTAATTGGTTTAATTTGTAGTATTTTATGTGCTTTTGTTATTTTTATTATTTTTATGTTTTTGTTAATGTTTATCTATATATATATATATAGCTTTAATTTATTTTATTTCGGTTTTAGCAATTTTTGTATTTCAACTTTAAACGTAATTTTTTTCAGTTAGTCGCCAAAGCAACATTTCTAATTTTCATTTAAGTATTATAAGCTTATTATATTTTATTTTATTTTATTTTATCAGCCACTCTGAACATCTAAGAAACTGCCTAGCAACATCCTGGCAATCACAAACAGCACATTTTCTTCCGGAAAAACAAACAAAAAACTGTCTAGTTTCTCTCAATTTACTTTATTAGCATATTTGTTTTACATACAGTATTTGTATCAATACAAATAAAAATATACAATACAAAAAAGTTAAAGTATCAATATAAAATAAAAATATACAGTAATAATAATATGTAATAACATCAAATAAAAACAAAGAATATAGAGAAAAAAAGCTTTGGCGTGACTATTCACATTTACAATATTGACAGAAGGTGTAAAATACTTAAAGTACAGTAGATTTGTGCGTATTCTGAAGAATTATGTGGTGGCCAATATTATTTATGTACTATTATAGTTTTATTAATATTTTGAATTAGCTTTTAATTTTAAATTAACTTTTTTTATTTTAATTTTAGTTACTTAAAAAAAAAAAGTTTTAGTTTTAGTTATTGACAATAATACTGGTGTTTGTCTGTGCAAAATGCATTTATGGTTGCTGTTTTTTCCTTTTCTTTTTACAACCTGTTACTTTGAGTAATAAATAAATAATGTGAAGTAAATACAAGCAAAATAAATGTAACTACGAAATATGATCCTAAAAGCAGTCAAGTCTCTCTAAGGTGTAGATGCTGTCATTCATCTGTCCCCGCCTCCTTGTGGGCGGAGCCACAGAGCCACACCTCCCTCTCTGTCCTTCAGACACACTCTCCCATGCGTTTAGAGTTTCTTCCAGAGGAAACTCACACTGATGAATGAACGAGAGGATGGATGTCTGCTCTCCGTGTCTCACACAGTAGATCCCGCGGCTGTGGCTCTGGTGGGCGTGATGTCGTGGGATTGTGGATTGAAGTATCTGTTTTCTCTTCCTCCGGTTCTGCAGCAGGCTGGCGTCTGTGCTCTCCGGGCTCCGGATGACTTGGTCCAGCGGCTGGCCAAAGACGGCTATCGCTTCCTCCAGAACCAGAACTACCGGCTCCCGGACCGCTCCGCTCAGGTAGGACGGCCCTCGCTCGCACCTGAGCCTGTTGGCATGGCAACAGCAGGTCAGGGGTCACGTTAGGAGACCAGGTGAGGAAACTCACCGTATCAACCTGTTGAGGTGTATTTAAAACACTTCTGGAGTCCTGTTTTCTAATGGTGATGCACTCTTAAAAATAAAGAACCAGAAAGAGTTACATAAAGAGAACCATCTATTATAGATTTACTGTTCATTTACATACATACTTCTTTGATAACTGATTTTTACATTTTAGGATTTTGGCACAATTATAGTTAAATAATAATTATGCTTAAGCAATATATAAATATGTCATATTAATTGGGAATATTTTACTATTAATATACATTTAGTAATAGTAATAATAAAAAGAGCATTCAATGCATGCAAATTTGCTTTGCAAAATAAATAATTGTATTATAATACTATGCTATAGTTGTATTATTATTGTTAGTAGTAGTATTTGCACCATTGTATTCATGCAAATTTATTTTGCAAAATAATTATTTGGTGTAATAATAATATGTTATAGTTATATTATTATGATTATTTACACCATTATATTAATGCTAATTTATTTAGCAAAATAATTATTTGCCGTAATAATAATATGGTATAGTTATAGTTATATTATTATTATTATTATTATTATTATTATTATTATTATTATTATTTACACTATTATATTCATGCAAATTAATTTTGCTAAATAATTAATCACAGTATATTTGCAGTAAGAATAATATGGTATAGTTATTATTGTTGTTGTTGTTGTTATTATTATTTACACCACTGTATTCATGCAAATTTATTTTGAATAAATATTTCCAATACATTTTCAAAAATAATAATAAAAAATATCTTACAATTGTAATATTATTTACTCCATTGTATTCATGCAAATTTGTTTTGCTAAATAAATAATTGCAGTATATTTTCAATAATAATAATAATAATAATATTGTAGTTATAATAATAATTATTATTAATAATATTATTATTATTATTTACAATTATGCATTCATGCAAATTTATTTTGCTGAAGTAAATAGCAAATATATTTTTGTATTTTTTTAGACTGTCTAACTTAAAATGCTGTTCGTTTCTCACTGCTTAAGTCTAGTAATTATGCAAATTATACATGATTTTTATCTTAATCTGTGAACATACAGTTGTGTTATCAGTCTCTAGGAACCTCTGAAGAACCTATACTGAAACAGCTAAACTTTTATATCTCCAACAAACCGTAAAGCACCTCAAGAACTCAAAAATGATAATAAGG